GTAAACACAACAAGAAAAACCTGTGGAAAACTTTCACCGGTGTTCCAGCTGCTTGCGAAAAACGTCAAACTTGCAATGCGGCGAATGTCATCGAGAGATCTTTCATCTCGACCGGCAGCTGATCTGAACACTTTTGACTTTTCCAGTCATATGCGATAAAATATAAGCAGGAAAATGAACGTTAACTTAGAAACGCTTGCGAAGCACAGACTGAACATGAGTTAAAGCTGTGTCATTCAGGAACATCATTCATTTTACGTTGTTCTTATTAAACCTTCTGATATCAGTAACAGCTTTTACGAAAAGGAACACGCCAGGATGGTCTGAAAACTTAGTTACTTACCTCCTACGAGCTAAAACCGTGTAAACAGCTGACACGCAATCTGCTGGAGCTGTGACTTCGACAAAGTAGTACGGTTCCATTAATCTTGGGGTTGCCTGAAAATAAAATAAAATGGAGAGTAAGATCCTTGCGAGAAACCAAAACATACCAATCTAAAAGTGAGATGGAAATTGTAGCAGCATTAAATTTATCATAATATGCTTGCCTGCCAATACAAATAAGAAACAATGTTTGTAACTGCTAGGACTTCAGCTCGTTCAGTTATGGGCGTCATTAACTGATAACTCTTAAATGGAGTTTAGCTTAATCGACCTACGCCAATGTTGCCACAGAATCACCTTAAACCTAAGGGCGACAGTGCAGAAAGAGGTATATCGGTAAGATTAATGATAATGCGCTAAAACCGACATTCTACCGGCATGGACAGATTATCTCTCTGGATGGTAATATATGTTAGAAAATATACTATTAGATGTAGTTGTGAATGGCTGCAAAAGACGTGAAAGAGCCCTTTGCAAACAGGAAGAAAACAATTTGTAACCGTATGAATGTCGGTCTTCCTTACACTATCATGACAGGGCCATTTTGGAGCCCTTCTTTTCACAAAGTCAGTAGTGGAGCTCCGATCCGATCTCAATTTCCATGAGAAATGAACCACTGACAACGAATGCCAGTTTAAAAGGCAAAGTGGAAAGCATAATAAGTAGTTTTCTATTTCCTTTCTACAGATTGCTACACGTTAATCAACCTAGGAAGGAAGGAAGGCGAATCGCCTGACCGTGGCTAGAACCAGAGACTTTTCAATCCTGAGTCTGACGCTCTACTGAATGAGCAACTCCAGTTAACTGAGAACACGATACACGCTGTCAGGAATAAAAGCAACGATTGCTACAATGAATTTTCAAACAAAATCTTAAAATGGTTTATAAACAGAGTTCAATTAACGTTACAGGACTATTCAATACTGTATTCAGTACGTAGCTGTATTCTATATTTATTTTATTACATGTAAATAAATTGGTCACCTACCAAGAAAGTACTACGCCCTCATTTTGCAGCTTACTGTAGGCTTAAGATCAACGGTAGAACGACATACCATAAGGAAAGCAGAATACGCGACTCGTCTGGCAGTAGGAATGACCTGACCACCTCCACGATGTATCGCTTCATCGGCGACGACGGCATCCAAGATTTTAAACTTTACGTTACGGATAGCTGGAAATAAACAAAACTGAAACTTGACTTCATCATCAGCATTAGAAAGACCTACGTTCTTCACAGAGTGGGCCTTCGCGAGTAGCCCACTGAAACCCTTGAACGACGGAGTCTTTTATGGATGAAAGCAGACTCTTGTTTACCTATAAACAAACAGTTAACTACAATACGATATAAACTATGAATGATCTACTTCAGACGGCAAAGTATCATCGACGAGGACATTAGGACCAGTGTTGTCGGGCCCGAATGCCCATATGCTCCTCGCGGCCAGTAAATCCCAGTCATACTTGGTTTGAAAAACTTCACCAAGCTTTTTCCTGAAGAAAAACGATCATAAATACCACGCAGGGGAATTACTTCCCAAATGAAGTTGTCTTACCGATTCCAAGTGATCTGAACGATCTCGTTCTCAATGTCCTCCGCCAATCCTTTCTCCAACGGCTCAGAAATCATGGTTAGCTTATTTCTAAACACACAGCAAAAGTCAGAGCGAAGTACAGTTTTCCCTTTCATTGCTACTTCTTGTTGGGGGTTTCTGCAAAGCATTTTAGAGATGATGTTTCTACGACAGTCTCACAAAACGAGACGACCGGATCGGCCACTTTGATGTCTATTTCAGAGAAGACTTTCCTGAGATCATGCATAACACAGTCCAAGTACAGCTCGCCAGTGCCTAGCACCACGTGCTCCCCTGACTCCTCAACTTTCGTCGTCAGCAATGGGTATGACTTGTTCACCTTGCGAAGGCCGTCCAGCATCTTGGGCAGCTCTGACGGATTTACCGGCTCAACAGCCACTTTAATTACTGACCTTGTGTTGAACTTCAACGGCCGAAAGATGTAAACCTGAAAATCAAAAGAAAATACTTGATCGTTGTAAAGACTTAAGGCTTAAAAACTTACGTCTTCGTTCAGTGACACGTCAGTGATCGTTGACGTTTTAACGACAGGCTGATCAATGCCTTCGATTAATACCCAGTTACCTGCAGGAACGCGATTCACTTCAATATTGTACCTAAAAACAGTCAAAAAATAGAAAGTAATTTATCAGTATATTAGCGTAAACAGCTGTTCTATCAGACACGGATACGACAAAGAAAAGGGAAAGACAAAACTGCTTCGTTCTAAAGTTAAATTGAGCTGGAACTAAAAATGAACAGTTAAGGTACCGCTACCTAGTAGTTTGGAAAGATCTGAACCCAAGAGAACCCAGTTTCTTCTCATGACAACTGAATGTCATCAAAAATGTCGACTATGAAAATTTTGTTCATAGTTTTGTTAGTTTTATTTTAATTGCTACAAATTTTGGAACAATTCTCTTCTCTTCTGCGTATACTGAAAAGCAGCACTGTTCAAGTAGCAAGTTTTCCCTTTCACCTATTTTGTATTTCCTGCTTTCTGGTATATTAAAATCCGACTAATGGATCATAAATTCTGCAGCAAATGTGTTTCCTGGCCTGAAACCAATAGCGCAACATGACTGTGAACCCATACCTCGCTTCACAAATCCATAGACGACCTACGGTCATCACTCGAGAATCCTCTTCGTCCTCGATTGAATAGCTTTCGCCCAAAATTTTAGCATCCTGTTGCACGTGCAAAGTACCAGAGAAAACTCGGCCAAATAAGTGAAAGCTTGTGGCATCAGAGGTGGCATAGTTTTTTGTCGTGTGCACCATAAGAGGGCCCTAGAACAAGTTTCTTTTTAGCAAATTACATCATTACGAAACAGCTAATCAAATGCTGCAGTAAAATCTCTATAACTCAATTATGACATTTAATTATTAATAAATGGACGTAGTAAAAGTATATATTTATCGTAGGTTAAAATTAGTTATGCAAAATTTCTAAAAGAAAATCTATAACCATTAAGTTCCTCGAAATCTGCTTAATAAACAAAAAGGTACTAACAAACTGACTAAACTGATGGACGTCTTTAACAAACGTACGAACGTGCACAATGACGGTCTCGTTACCCCTTCCCCCATCGCTTTTGTCTAGTTACCGGCAACGGTTATTTTTCAGTGAAATGCCGCTGTGATTGTCATCCAGTGCCAACAAAACTTTAACTGAGTGATCCAGTTCAGTGACAATTCATTTAACTAGAGAGAATAGAGAATGAAAATGAGTTAATTATCAGGAAATCGTTCGAACTCGTGATCTTTAAACTGAGGTGAAAGTGTTCTACTGGCTAAGTCTAACTTATATAAACGTTACTATAACAAAAAACAAGTACGAACCTCTGGATCGCAAGACAAGAGGCCGTTGGCTATTTCTCCTTCTAGAACTCCAGTGTAATTGTGAGTGACCTTGTTCCGCGCATTTTCCACAGGAGATTTAATGTTGGTGGTAACGACGTCAACGAAACCTGAAGAGAAACTAGTATATTCTACAGGAACAAACATGTCACACCAGTAATCGGCTTACTCGTGAAATCTTCAAATATTCGCCGACAAACAAGTGACAGAAGCGACCGAATGTTTAGTTTCTGCTCTTTCTTCGCCAACCGAATGCCGAGTTCGTCAATAATGCGTGGCAAGGCAAAATCCACATCACCCACAACCTAAATATGCAAAAAGACCTCAAAAGGATTTATTGATGACAGCACTGAATATACCTGTGAGAATATTTTATACAGAGGCTCAAGAATGAACTCGATAAAAGAGCGTTGAGAACTAGAACTGGGTGGCTTTCGAACGAAACCCCTCGTTTTCTGGTTAAAGTAGATGTCCCCCCACAATCGCTTGGCAAACTCCGCTGAATTAAATTCTCCTAAAATACGACGGTGTCACCATGGTCTTCGAATCACGGCTACGTACCATAGACATTTGAGTATAACTGGGCAAATGAAAACAGCGTGAAACAAATATTGTACCGACTGCTGGCAAAGCAGACGTTGCCTTTCAATGGAGAAAGGTACATTTCTTCAGGATCGTCAGAAAATGATCTAAAAATGAAACGCTAATTAGCAAAAATCTAAAGACCGACTATATGTCAGTACGCGAGGAGATTGTTCAATTCGTCGAGAATATGCCGAATCTTGTAATATGCATCTGTTGGCGGCAATTTCAGCTCTAGTATGAGGCGGTCGATTTTATTGATGCACAGTGTTATGGGCATTTTCTCCTGAATGGCTAGTTTGATCACTCTTTCGGTATTCAGCATTACCTGAAACAATTATATACCGGTTAAGCAAAAATGAAAACTTCAACAATACAACTGAAAGCACATTTTAGGGCGGCCATAAAATATCATAAACCTAGAACCTGACAAGTCAGAAAACAGGCTAGTCATGAAGGCCAATGTACTACACTATCCTCGATGAGAATTTCATTACACCTTCAACCCCGTGAACATGATAATATTTTTACTGTCATTCTTCTTACCCAAGGGAAGTGAAACTCCGCCAATATTATACGAAAAAATCACAAGCATAATTTTTCCATTAACTGTGAGGACTTAATTTTTTGACAAATGTAAAGACTCACTCCTTCATGAGCATCCACGAGGATCATAACGCCATCGCATAATCTGAATGCAGCAACGACTTCGTCCGAAAAATTAACATGGCCTAAAATTCGACGAACAAAATGAAAATAAAACAAGATAAGGCACTGTACCGGGTGTGTCAAAAATGTTCAGCAGATAGGACTTGCTCCGCGAGTCTTGCATTACTAAAGTGACCGGCATAGCCTTGATGCTGACACCCCGCTCCTGTTCTGTATAAAGCACATCGGTATATCTAGTCTAAAAGTTGTTTCACAGAAAATGCCTATGGTTTTATACAGAACCTACTAGAAAATTTAACACTTTCAGACAAATCATAATGTTAATATTAAATACAGTATCAATTTAAATCATTAATATGCAAAATAGGTCATGGCATAATTTATGGCTAAAAGAATTAGCCAAAGGCATTGCTGCCTTTATAACACTATTTGATAAATGAAACGACAAAAGCAAATATAGCTATCGATTTAGATATCATGTCATGTCAGATCTGTACATCACACTAAAATTACACTTTTTTATACCTCAAGCAAAAGAATCTAAGCAACTGTTTATTAGACAACTATGAAAACATCACGAAGTCATCCCAAAAAAGTAACAGCGGATTTGGAATAATTTAAGCGTATGAGCTAAATCACCTCCAACAATGGCATTATCCTATCAGAATTAAATTATAGAATCGCCCTGGCTTCGAGTGTTTCTGGAAACGTCAAATATTTGGGCTGACAAAAGAGTAACTCCGTCCACAAAAACATCTGTCTGCACATTGTCTTGGTCAGGTCACTGCTGCTGTACGGCATGGAGACAGTAGTTCTAACGAAGAT